AGGCTGAAACCAACCAGCAGCACCACAAGCTGCCAGACCGTAGCACTTCACGCTCCTGCTGACTCTGTCTTGCACCAAGACCTTCTCGGGGAAGCAGTCCAAGCATGGACTGAAGTCTTTCGCTGCTCCTGCGGCGGCGTTGTGGTTCCTGTCCACAACCTTCCCTGTGGTACTTCGTGCCTGCACGCACGGCTATCCTGAGCGTGGGGAGGTTCATCACCGTCTCGGTGATCTTGACCACTTGTTCCTGAGCGCGCATCTGCTTCCATGCGTGGAAGCACGGCTGTCGCTACTGTTCCTAGTAGCAGTAGCATCATCGCTGCCACGGTCCCTGATCCAGGCAGCTCCGCTATCATGCTAAAGAACGGGCTCACTAAGGGCCCCATACTTTCACAAACTGACGGTCACTTTTCCTGCTCACGCGGGAGTGTGTCCGGTGTCTCGAGCCTAGGCGCCACGGTCGTGACTCGGCTGTTCCTGCACATTAGCTACACTGCATTAGCGGTGTTTACTGTTCCTGGCAGAATGTTTAACAAGAAAACATTTCCGGGGGAAACACATTGATCTCAGTCGGCAACACATGGACTTCAGGCAGTCCCTTGCATTGCACTCTGTACATGCAGCTCACTTGCAATCACTCGGAAAACAATCCGAAGCAATCGGCCATTTCGGCAAATCGGCCAAAACAATCGGAGAAAGCATTTCGGAAAATTCTCTCATTCTCTCAACTCTCTCTTTCTTTGGTTTTGGGGCTTTCGGGCAACACTGAAACATTCGCACATGCCGGCATGACAAGACAGGTGAACCTTGCACACGCAATCATGACAAAAAGCTGCTGCATTCCCTTTACACTAGACAGAACAGCAGCGACACGTGCAGTCAGAACATGCAATGCATTCACCGCAACTCACCGACAGAGTCCCTCGGCGTGGACTTCAGTCCAACGGCGTCCAGAGAAGCATTGCGCGCAGCGGGTACAATCGGAACGTGCACGAGGGCGGGCACGAGATCCGCGGGCCATTCCCAGTCGGGCGGTGGTGGGGGAGGAAGAGGCCATTGAGTATTCACCACAGGAGCAACATGATCATCAGTATCATGAGCACCAGCGGTGAGATCCCTGAACCAATTCGACACAACACCAATATGTGCCTTCAGTCGCTGCAACACATCAGTTGCAACATATTTGGTCATTAGAACCGCGGGATTCCGCGCGCAGTCAATCTTAGCCATCCTCAGCAGGCCCATTTGCACCAAGTTCTGGACATACAGGAACCGCAGTTCCACGTGTTTCGTCTTCTTTCCAGTGCCATAGCGGGTAGCCATTGACTTCCCCGCAGTGCTGTCGGTGTGAGCAATCACACTCACCTTCTTCGCTAGCTTTGATTCCAACAGCATTGATCGGACAAACAGTGCTTCAGACACTCCTTGACCAATCGCGTACAACCCCGCTTCACCAAAGCACAGTGCCAGTGTTCCTTGCGCCCTGGCAGTACTGACCACATTGCAACCAAGGACATTCACAGTGGAACCGCAAGTGCTCTCCCGCGTGCGGGAGCAGCCAGCCCTGTCAGAGTCCACATAGACATTGATGTCCACGGCGCAGTTTCCATCTGCGAGTTGCTATGTTGGTCTCAGTCTTAGCACACACATTTTCGTACCAACCAAATAGCGCGACAGGTGTTTGCATTTGGCGACACTCTGCATTGTCGGTGCAGTCACATCCCGACTCAGCTCTTTCGTCGCATATGCAATATCACCACGAACCAGTGCTAACCAAAGCAGTTTGCCAACCGCAGTCCTGTACACTTTGTGCTCTTCAGAACTCAGTGGCATATCTGGAACAGTCTTGCTGATGGTCGCCATTCCAGTCGTCACCACAGGCTTGGCATCCTCCGTTCCATACAAATCAAGAATCGCATCAATGTACTTCTGTGACATGCAAACATCAATCGAGTCACCATTATGTCGCAGTCGTCGTCCTAAGAAAGTGTGCTTACTTCGTGGCACCAGTTGGCCAGTCTCTTTGAGAGACACTTCCTCCGACAGTTGAGACATGATCAGTTTCGCCAGTCTCTACAACCAACAAATCATCAACCTTTGCAAGTACATACAATCGACCAGATTAATGACAGTAAAGGTTAGGGTCACTCTTGCATCTCCGAAATCCCAGTTTCGTCGTCATTACTTCAGCGAAGTGTTCCCTGCCACAGTCTTGGCGCCTGTCGAAGGCCATACATTGCCTTCTTCAATCGCCACAGACATTTCCCGTCAGGGTAGAATTCCTTCGCTGGCCAGACGAACACTTCCTCATTCATCAGGGCATGCAAGAATGCAGTACTGACATCACCCCTTGTGATGCCCCAATTCCTTGCCAGTGCCACACAGAGAAGCAAGCTGCGACCAGTGAAGGCGTGGAAGCAAACAAGTTGTGATTCACCCTTCTCAATATTCTGAAAACAACCTCTCACTACCACTCTGCACCGCAGTTCATCTTCACTCTTCCAGACCTTGACCCATCAACAGTCCAGGGCACCATCAATCTGCTCTTGGGTGCAGTCGTCAACCTTCACTTCATCACACACCTCGAAATTCTTCCTTGAATTCATCTCCTTCATCATTCCTTTCTTTTCAGCCTCAGCGGAAACTCACTCTCCCACACACAGTCAAGCTGCACAATCTTCCTGCCTTGCACATCCAGTGTCGTTCCTGACATGCTCCGCAGTGAGGGTGCACTCTCATTCAAAGGCAGCGTCGGGTAATCCGGCGCAAACCAATCAGGACAACAGTTCGCGCAAGCTCCACTGTCGAACAGTATCCATGCTTTGTCGACCAGTCCAGCCTGCATGTGAAACTCAATCAAGCTGTCGTCGAAACCATTCGGATCATTCTCAGGCAATTTCTTCAAGTTTGGCATTCGGCATTGGTGGCACTCCGGAACTCAATGCACCAATCAACAAGCACACTCCAACGTACAGATTCGTCATCAGTCCAGGTTTGGTTCCCCGAACAGTCCTAGCAACTCTGGGCGCGCTCTGATCCGATGAATCAACAGTCACAGCTGACACATTCTGTGGTGGTTCATTCTTGGCGGTGTCCTGAGGGACATTCGAACCTGAGCTCACGGCACAATTCGAGCTCTGTGGCTGGTTCTCAGCAGGACTGCACCATTCCTGAGTGTTCCAGGACCAGTCCTCAGGCCAAGAACTCCAATCGTCCTCATACCAAGACCAGTCACCAGACCAATCATCGACAGAACCAATCCACTCACCATTCCAGTCCTGTTCTTCCAGTCACCAGACCAATCATCATATGACCAGTCATCCTGATTCCACTGATTCCAGTCATCATGCCATTCCATTCCATTTCCTTGTTCCTCTTCCGTCACGGCGGACATTTTTCCATTTCCTTTCGGGCATTCCTTGCTCCAGTGGTTCGGATCACCACACAGAAAGCATCCTTGTCCATTTCCTTTACCATTCATTCCTTTTCCTTTTCCTTTGCTCTTTCCTTTTCCTTTGTATCCTTTGTACATTCCTTTGCCCTTGTATCCTTTTCCTTTGAATCCTTTCATTCCTTTTCCACCTTTGTAACCTTTTCCTTTCATTCCTATGTCCATATCTGCTGGACCATGGTGGTCATTCCTACCACTTGGGACAGTTAGGTGTCTGCTCCTAATGTAGCTGTAGATGATTTCCAGTGCTTCATTGAACGTGTTGATATTCCGAACATTCAACCTCAGATGCTGCTGCAAAGGACCAACAGTCTTCTGCATTAGCAACGGTCATTGTGAAGCGGTCTACCAGTCGTCTTCTCATGTCTATTCTTCAATATGATGAACTCACTCAGATCACTCTCCAGATAGTCTCCTCTCAGTCGGAAGCCGATGATCTGATTCAAGAGATTCGTCGATCGAGCTTTCTCCGGCAGTGAAAACTCACTATGCAGTGGCCTCCAGATCTCAAACCCATTCTCTGTATCCTCATTGCGCACAATCGCTCCCGCAGCGCCATCAGTGATTTGCGCAAGCATATACGCCAGTTGCCGAGAGAACAGTGATAGCTGATCATTCTGGTTGCGATTCTGTTGCACATTGAACGCTTCACACAGATCGTCAGTGATAGCAATATTCGATCCTTCCACGTCATCCATTGACAGTTTTGCCAGTGGTTGTGAAAAAACATATCTTCCGAACTCCATTCTGCCTCCGTCCTGATTCCAGAGCCGAAGCTCCGCTACCATGAAAACTTCAACAATACAAATCAGTCCTAACTTTGTAACCAAGATCAGACACTTCCCCCAGTCACACTCAAGCAGACATTCCTTTGTGACATCAAGCCTTGGTCCAGTCCTGAGCCAATGCCATTCGGCATCGTAGCATTCTCTAATGCATCAGGAGCATTAAGGTGCACATTGGGCTCGTGTCATTTAAGAGAGAGAGAGAGAGAGAGAGAGAGAGAGCCTCAGTTTCGCGAAGAACTTACGGACCTGCTTTGCATGAGGGATACGTATGCTTCGAGCTTCGACGTCCTTTTTGGGCTGCGCTCAAGGGAGGGCGATCTGCGAGCAGTCCGGCTTCTCGAGCAACCTGCCGATCCGCCCTAAAGGCTCGGCGAACTGTCTCCGACCTTTCAACCCTCAAAAGACGAAGGCGACAGACGAGGATATGGTACTGGATCGAGCTTCTGGCACCACAGTTGGCGAAGGCCATGGGATGGCTCGTGCTCTAGGCTCTGTAGCTGTAGCAGCTGTAATCAGCTGTGATCAGCTGTAGCACGGCAGGTTCAGGACTGAGAACTGGTGCAAAAAGGCCCGCCGGACATCTGCGCTTGTCGCCTAGAAGTTCTATGGCTCCGGCGGCCCGAGCCACTCCGACCCCTTCCCACAGCTAGGCGGCGCGAAGGCTGTGCTGCTAGTCTCCGCGTACAGAAGCATGGAGAGAAAAGAGAAGTCACGGCGAGCTACTTTATCTTCCGACGATCGCACTCTCTGTGGTGCGGCGATCACGCACCAAGGCCAGGATATCCAGACCTTGCAAGCTGGCGGTGATACTTTTCAGCATCTCTCCAATATCCTGCCAAGCGGCACAGCCCAGCCGATGAAAGCTATCGCGACCAAAGCCAAACCATAATATGCCGTGGGATTCAACTCCTTGCACGACACACGAACCATCTGCTAGTAGAAAGCGCTCGCTGGAAACTGCTTCCATCCCCGGTCCCGATGGCGGAGGAGGTTCTCCACCTACGGCAGCAAAGCCAGCAAGATCAAGCTTTGGCTTCTCTGCAGTACCTGATGGCCACGCAGGATGCGGAAGCGGAACCGATCCTGCCAGGAACAGTTGTTTTGCTGCTTCGGCTAGCAGCTAGGGTGTCGAACGGCCTTCAGGTTCTTCAGGTCAGCATGAGGCGGACCTGGCAGCTCACAGTTCCTTGCCAGATGCGCTGTAACCCGACAAGTCCTTTCTGAACCCTCTGGAGTCGCAAGTGCTCGAATGCTTGACTTGCGCTTGAACAGCGAGTGCTTCAATCTCCGTGCTCGTGCTTACGTTATCTGCATACATGATATATGAGCATGCCACTGCTGAGGGCTGAGTCACGTCACCGAGCACTCCATCACTAAGTTTTTGTTTTGGCCGCAAGTTGCAAGGCCTGGGCGGTGTGCAAGTACGCTGCGGGTAATGGGCACTTGGCATTGGGGCATCGCATGGCATCGCGGCACTACTCTCACCTCAAGGCGAGGGTTCCGCTTTGGTCTCCGTCACAAGACTTCGCATGACGGCTTTGCCCTTGACACCGTTTGGGCCGCATGAGAACACGCTCTGCCCAGGGAATGCACATTTTGGCTGTCACGTGGCCTTCATCGCCCTGGGGCGAGACCAGTCGGATGTTGCAATCAGCACCTGGATGGGTCAGGCGTGAGTCGCAGAGCGTCGCAGAGTCGCAATTCCGAGCCTTCACCGGTCCCAGCCTGACAGCAGAAACCCTACACGGCCGCTTCGCCCCCTCCGGCCCCCTCGCCCTCCCTGGGCCTCTGCGATCATGGGCCTTGCGAGGATCGTCACCTCACGCGTCGACGTACGGCGCTCGCCGTTAGCACTCCGCTGTCTTTGGAAGCGGCCGGAATCCCTCGAGGGATGGCCAACTCTGTGTAGCGGAAGCAGTTCTCCTCACGGCAAAGGGCGCAGCGCCACGGCAAAGGAGCAGCTTCAGCGAAGGAAGGGCTCCTCGTCCCGGCGTTGCTCGAGCTCAGCACGGGAGAAGGTCGGCTCCTGCGAAGATAGAAGAAGGGGCGGCTGAGCCGCTAAAAGTGGCACGCATGTCGCCAAGAGCCAGGCACAGTGCGGTGTGTAGCGCGTGTTCTCCTTTCCTGCGGCCTGCAGCACTGCAGGGCAGCAGGGCAGCGGCCCGCAGCAGCAGGCCGGGGCGGCGGTGTCGACCGTGGTGTCCCTGCGGCCTGCGCCCGGTCCAGCAGCTCGCGAGCGCTGATCATCTCCGTCTTGCGAAACCGGCCCGTCGCGTATGCCGGCACCTGCAGAAAGCGCCAGCTACGAAGCACTGAGCTACGAGAGCTGAGCCGAGGCTCCGGGCGTCGTCGTAGCCGCCGCCACGGACGGAGTCGTAGAAGCCTCGAGGCTCCCAGAGGAATTTCGCCTCAAATCGCAACGAGGCGGGGCCGCTGGGAGTTCTCAGAGGCAAATTCATCATCGCAAGACTTGCAAGGAGAAAGGGACAAAGAGCAGCGGCTTTCAGAATGGAACGTGCTGCGAGCATTTCCTTTCTACAATAAAGCCTTCCTGTAGATAAACCGAAGGCCACACAGCAAGGATTTGCAAGCTAACGCTGGAAAGGCTTCTGCAAACTGACGGGCCAGAGGTAAAGTGGTAGGTCTCGAGTTGCTTCCCGCTCTGGGGATGCTGCCGGGGTTTGGCCGGCACGGAAGGCCTCTAGTGATCTCCAAGAACACAAAACCGCTCTGGAAGCGTCCTACCTCCCCAATCTCTTCCAACACGTGCGGGTTGCCAGGAAAACCGCCCAGATCCGCCGCCGATTGCCTCAACTCGGCGAGTGCGAGAATTGGGCAGGGGTGAGTTTCGGCAGCTGGGCGCCCAGCACGTCAAGGAAGATAAATTCAGAGAGCAAGGTGTACGGGTCCTGCGACGCGAGTGTTGAAAAGCCCCCCTTCCGCCGCTTAGCCTTGCCAAGCTGTCCGACAAACGCATGGGTGGCAGATCATCCAATCTCTGGCGCCGCCCACTCGGACCTGCAGATACTGGTTTTGCGACAAATGTGTGTTTGTGTTGCTTCCTGGCCTGTAACTCCATCTTTTCTAAGGTAATGGGTGAATTCGGTCCAAACATCACTGACCTCAGAGACTGCTTGCTCCCTTGCCAGAAGCATTAGTGAAACTCACGAGCAGCTAAAATCCACGCTGGCAGAAAGAGAGGTGGTGGATCGGACACGCCTGTCATCCAGAAGGCTGCAAAAGTGCAAAAGTGCGCGACAGGCACTTAGTCTAGTAGTCCGACACGTATGCTTTGTGTAAAATGCTGTTGCCGTTGACAATTCCTGGGACCAGCAAAGATGCGAACACGGTTTGTGTGTCCGTGCAAACATCCATACAGGCGTGTGCTGTCCGCTCCTCCGTCCGGTAGCAGCATTTATATTTAGGTTCGTGTTTGCTACAAGTGATTACATCTTCAAAAGACAGTCAGCCGCTCCCGAAGACACTCTCATCAATCGATGATTCCTTTGACACCACCGCAACATTCCCAGAGCCTGAAGACTGGTCCGGGACCATACGTTGTAATTCTGTAATATGCGTCACATGCGTTACGTGGATACATATCTGTGTTACATAAACACGTTTCCGATATCATTGAGTGTGCCATGCACCAACGTTGCCACCTCCGGACCACGGGCATGTTGCGCCAGGTTCTGGTGCGTGCCAAAGCCGGTCTGGGACCGAAGCTTGATGACGGCGGTGCGAAAACGCCCGACGACAGTTCTGATACTATTGATGAGCCTCCCTCGGTGGGCGTGTCGATCAGTGATTCAACCGCACGGGGCGGGCCGAGAGGTGATTACGGAAACTCATTTCAACATATACTTACATATATGTATTAGCGATCATTTGTTATTCCACCGTCTTCGTCTGCTGTCCGTACATGACCGTCGTCGGGATTCGCTCGACTAGCGCACTTTGCCTTGGATGGTTGTCGCCAGTATTCCAGGCACGCGGGCGCAACATTCCACTGCGTCACCGAATCAATTCGCCACAGCCGTTGGTTGATGGCATGGCGACCCTTCGGAATGCCACATGAAACAGATGCTGGCGAACTCCGGTGCTGACGAATCAATATGGCCGCATCCCCCCAACTCCTCTTTATCCAGATCCGCGTTTTCACGTGACGCAAGGCACCTCGACCTCGAAGATCGCCGAGCAAAAGCAGATTCTTTTCGGGTGGATGCTAAACTGCTAAACATACTTTGAGAGCTTACCGTTAGTTCAACACTTTGAACCTCCCCCATCGCTGTAAAAACTATGGCACATGTTTGATGGGACATGGCAATCGCCGCACCAACCTGTCGCTCGGAATGTGTTGATCGAAGCCTCGTGCCAGTCTTTTGATGGATTGGCGCTCGCCTTTGCATGCACCACGAACTGAAGGCTCAGGAGCTACTGGTTTCAACTCAGTTGCCAAATTCTCTCGGGAACGTATCTTCAGGATGGCATTCACTTTCATCGAAGGCTCTGGGTCATGTCGCAAAATGATTTTTCAGTACCGGAAAGCACGAAGCATGCTCACCATCACTATTTCTTGAATTGCAGGGTGTGACAAAGCAACAACAACTGCATACTGTGTCTGGACGTCACACAACAAAAATGCGTAGCCAGGCGTGCTGCTTTTCCATCGGTCTTCCCAATTCTGAAGATACATCTCTGCCCAGGCCTGTTGTGGGCGACGACCACGGCGGTCGTCAATTGTGGGTGCACATTTGCGTGCAGACATGGTCTTCATGTAATAAACAAACAGTGCCCTAAAACATGCAAAAATCACTTCAGATTGCGGCAACTGTGCAGACTGTGCACGTCTGCTCCTGCACTCATATAAATCGAAATCGCTCATGTTGACATGCAAATCTGCAACTGGTAGTGCCACACACATGCCAGCGGTGAAACAACATGCATCAGGCACGTGCGGAAAGCGTCCTTTCCACAGGAAATCTGCAGTGTCTTCGTTGAATGCTGAGACTGCAGAAATCCCCAGCACCCCCTGCTGTAGGTACATCGGCATGAAACACAATGCAAGGTTTGTCGCATGTGCAGCATAATAACACAAACAGGCCCCTGCAGGGCTAGCTAAGCCAAAGATCCTACTGCTGATGCACACTGCAACGTCTTGAAGTGCAAACCGACATCTCGCAATATTGAATCGGCCAAGGTACCAAGTACAACCAAGCTGCAACAGTTCAGAACAACGACATAGAAGGAAATGCACAACCAAGCGATATCAATGTACAACCAAGCTCAACCGTCAAGAATACATATTTGCCAAAATGGATACCGTCCAGCAATACGCAATGTGTAACCGTTGATTGCCAATGAGTATGCACGCCAATGAATACAACATGCAGTCCATCCACCTGCTGAACATGGTTGCTTTGCCAAAACTTCATCCAGCTGCACGTCACCTGTACGTCCACTTGCAGATCACTTGCACGTTACCTGCACTTCCCTTGCACATCGCTTGCACGTCCCTTGCACATCACTTGTCACCTGCACGAGGGGGAAGAAGGAAATCCGCCCCACTGCGCTCCACGAGGAAAACGCTCCCGATCCATTATTAAAGCCGCGCAGACAACAGCCTCCGCACTTGCCAGCCGCGAATCTGGCGTCAGGTAATGATTTCCGACATGACCGTGATTTCCGGACATGACTGTTGATTTCAACTGTGATTTCCACTTGAACATGTTGTCAGATCCTAAGCGATTTCCAGACCTGCTAACACAAGAACCCCCTTTGGGCCGGCATATTTCGCCGAAAACGGTGGGCTCATGAGGGAGCTCCGGCCGTACACGATTCTGAAGATACATGTCTGGCCGGCATAAGCTTGATGTGGACGACGACCATGGCGGCTCGTCCTACACATGTGAATGCCTAATTATTGCTGTGCTCTGTCTTGCACCGCGAGAAGTATGGTTCACAGGTGAGGCAGGCTTCTTTCAGGCTGTCAGGTAGAAAAAGCACGCCCACGACCGATGGGTGCGGGCGGGAGGGTGGGCGCTTGAGCGGCACATGTTTCGGATTTCGTCTTACACCGGCTCAAGGACTCAAGGACTTGTCCTACACATGCGAATGCCTTCTGCTGCACTCTGTTTTGCACCGCGAGAAGTAAAGTGTACAGGTGAGGCTGCAATTTTCAGGCTAGAAAACAACACGCCCGCTGACTACCCAAACCTCCCACATTTGTGCCCTCAAGCGCGCATCCCAGCGGCGTACAAGAAGAAACAATGCTGTGAGGAGGGACACCAATGTGACACCAATTTTTTGCAGAAAAACCACCGTAGCCGCAGCAAGCACCTGCCTGGTACACTAGCTAGCGAGGGAGTACGTAGCAAGCCTAGCTTTAGCTAACCGGCTTCAGACAGTAGCACGGACAACACGAACTTCTCTTCTTAGCGTTGTGGCGACGTCCCGTGTTAGCCCGGAGAAAAACTCTAGCCTTTGGCTAGCTGATCTCCAGGGTGGGCTGGGTGGGCACTCGAAAATTGCCCCCCAATAGCAGGGGCCTTTCAGCACAATGGCCACGGAATACCTCACGTTCCACCGGCCATGTGCAGACACTCTAGCAAACAGACTGGCTTCGTTCTGTTTAGCTTTCGAGGAAAACCCCTTCGACGTTTTCTAGCGAAACACCTTCGATGTTTCAATCAAGGGATATACTAGCGCTAGCATACACGGTCGTACCTCGTCCCTCTGCACGAGTGCGTACACTAGCTAGCGTATCCTCCCGCCACCTCCCACTACACCTCCAGGGAGTACGTAGCAAGCCTAGCTTTAGCTAACCGGCTGCAGACAGTAGCACGGACAACACGAACTTCTCTTTTTAGCGTTGTGGCGAAGTCCCGCGTTCGCCCGGAGAAAAACTCTGGCCTTTGGCTAGCTGATCTCCTAGCGCACTACCAGGGACCAAGCTTACGGGCCTTCTTAGCGGACCTCGGAACCTTCGGTCTCTCGGTTCTCTTCCTCACTCCTGGCTCTTGGAAGTAGCTAGCCGAGTGTTCGAGGAGGCGGCCCAGCACGCGCCACTCTAGCTTTTCCCCAACCAGGTTCAACCTGAAGTCCGGGGAGAAACTCGCGACTAGCTGGTTCAGATCACGGCGGATCCACCGTAGCTGCAGCTCACAGTCTTTAGCGGACAGCTCTTCCGCCAGCTCCATTGGCACCAGAGTCGAAGGAAACTTCGTCGTCATAGCCTTCCTCAGTAGCTCCTCTTTTTGCTTGTTGAGTTCTCGCGCCGCCCACGCAAGCGTAAGCGACGTGTCAAGCTTCTCGTCTTCAGGATACAAGTGTCTCATGCACTGTACTGCAAAAGATACGCTGTACAAGATGCCGGCTCGCACGGTAGCCAGAGGTCCGACGTGAGAGGCTTCGGCACTCGAGTGAAGAAAGCTCCACTGTGCTACGTTAACAAGCAGCTTCGGGAGCCTACAACTTACAAACATGTGGCAACGGAGTTCGGGGTGTACAGGGTGAACCCGTTTGCACACATAAAGATGAGCAGATAGCTCAACTGTTCTTCTACGGCTAGTTCAGCAAAGCAACACTTGAGGGAGGACCCTACAGAAAGACTGTACACAGCAGTTCAGTCGTGACGGCGTTGTTTGAGCTCAGTCCGCCTCGCCTCAGCAGCCCCACGGCGGCGCCAGCAGCACCACAGCTGCACAGCAGCAGCAGTAGCCCAGCCAGAAGCCAGGAAGCGTCAGTCAGCCAGAGACAGCCGAAACTGAGGTAGAACTTGTCAGCGACAGCGGCTCACCGTCGAACGAGAGCCGAGGAGAGCAGCCAGAGCAGCAAGAAGTCGTGGTGCGCCACCAGCGAAGAGGCGGTTCAGAGCCACAAGTCCTGTCCAGGAGTCCCGTGGACTCGCAGCCAGCAGCAAGCATCACCACAGCGCCCAGGCAGCTCAGTAGCCAGCAGCACCACAGCAGCCCAGAGCACGGTAGTGCCAGTGCGCAAGAGGGTGGGAAACCCGGGCCAAAACCCTAAAGACCAGCCCCCGGGGAGGACTGGCGTCACAAGCAGTGGCAGTTCCAGCTCGAGGAAGACTTTCGAGGTAGTTGTGGAGTCGCTCAGCAGCCTTAGCAGAAGCTCTGACCGTAGCCTCCTCCCAAGCTTTGACACGAGCAGCCTCGGTCACCCATTTTTCCCTGAGAGACCCTTTGAGCCGCCTAGCAACACAGTCCT